TTTGGAAATTCGTGTTTGCTCTGCTCCTATTTTGTTTTGTTTTACGGACTTTTGATCTTGAATACTGTTCGTTATCCCCATATGTTTTATTCTTACTAACTCATCACAATGTTTTTTTTTTATGTTAGTAAAAGAAGTCTTTTCATTTTATGCATTGTTTCAGCCAAGAAAAATATTTTTGATACATGTAAAATTGATGAGCAGTGTACTGGTACAGAAAACGCTGGAGTCTGTCTTTATGATAAACGCAATGAGACGGGTGTTTGTGCTTGCAATGACGGATATATTTGGCATAAAGAAAGGTGTATAAAATGTAAGTCTTACATCGTGATACATATTTCACTATGAACGAGAATGTTTTACACTTATTTTTTCACTTTCAATTCTCTATTCATAGAAATCGTCACTAACTACCGGTGTAATTTATTTGGCAATCAGATTTATTGGGCAGCGAGGATTTTTTATCGTGCCAATTCCTGTCGTAAAACAGGGCGTCGGTTTTTATCGACTCATTGGAAAGAAGATCAAATTGCCGAGCGCTTGGCGAAGTAAATTAATTGCTAAGAATTTTCCACTAGAATATGTCACGGCTCTTGTTCTAACTTTCGACTTTCCCATCAGTGAGCGATCGCTTTAAAAAAGAGCTATTGTGATTTCCAGTAAATAAAAGGCTTCATAAATAGATTTATTACCGTTATAAAACTAGTGTGTGTATTATAACTGTATTTCAGAAATATGATTGTAAAGAAAGTTCAACATATATTACACAGTTCATGTCCTCTTAAATTTTGATACATTGCAAAATTAAAAGTGGTCTTTATACTTTTAGAACCTTTTAAAAACTTTGATCCTATGAAAGATTATTTTCACTTTCTAATTGCAGCGGACATTTTTTTATTTGAATCTTGTGAGTACGATATACAATGTAATGGAACAGAAGGTGCAGACGTCTGTAAAACTTTCGGGGAACGACAAATATGTTATTGCAAACCTGGACACCTTGAATTTCAAGGACGATGCATTGAAGGTTACATTAATCATGATTGTATTATTGTTTCATCAACATTTAGAGACACTGAATGGTGGAAGTTCTATTGCAAATTCTTTTTTATTTTTTAGGGGAAAAACATTTAGGTGAACCATGCGAGACAAACAAACAATGTTTGAGTGTAGAAGACAATGTAATTTGTGGTCAAAATTTGTCATGCTCATGTAATGATGGATATTTCAAAGTTGGACAAGAGTGTGTAAAAGGTACGATTTGTGAACAATTATTACCTTTTTTATAGTTACTAAGACAGGAGTTCGTCAATCCATATGTCATTGTAAAGTATCTTTTGAAAATTCCAACACCTTTTTTGGAAAAAAAAATCTCCATATTTCATTGCCTAAACGCTTTGATACCCCTTTATGTCTAAACATTATAAAAATGCTTACAAACAAAAAAATATTAACATTCATGAGGGAGAAATTCATGAAAACTTTAAAGCATCATATTTGAAAAATGATGTTCTATAAATTTTTTTTGTTTTAAAAAATCACAAAATTTACTTAAAATAAATTGCTACAAACGTAGTATTTGCAACATTTTATACAAACATATCTCACGACAACCGGGAAGACTAGAATTTTCATTACAACTATTCTTAAATATAATAGCTTGATAATGTGCATACCTTGTCATGAGTTATTATAATAAAATTGTGATATTGTTCACCGTCTGATCAACCCAATTACTTGACATGAAAAAATACTGAAATGATTGATAATAACTAGGAAATTTCAGACACAGTCTCTGACCTTCCAACAATCTGCTCCTCTGAATTTCCATTCAGTTTTCAGCTCGATTCATGCAAAAGATGAGATATTGTCAATTAAAATCTCAAGCATCTATTTAACATCAACTTCAGAGAAATCTGTCTACAATCAGATTTCCCCCAATGCATATCTTCCTTTTATATAAAATAATACATACCAATAAAAAATTTCAATGTATATGATTTGAAAAACGGAATATTTAAAAACAAAGACAAGAAAAGCAAATCATAGCATCTTATTCAATGTTTTTTACAAGTCCATTTTGCTCTATGCATAATTTGTAATGTTTCAATGAACTTTTGGAGGTTGACTATTTTTCTTATTATTATTTTATTTTATTTATTTTATTATTAATATCTTATTTTATTTTTCTGTCTTTCGTACATGCATTTAATTTTATCTGTAAAAATTATATAGAAAAAATATAATACTCAAGATTTCGTCTGTCTTTTCATTAGTTATACCATGGTTTATGCTCTGTGTCTTCGTCAAATAATGCAATAATAAGTTTTACCTTTGATATTCATTTATAGCATGATTATTTGGTATTTAATTCTTAATAGTAACTTAGGTTAATTCAAAGCTTAAAATTATTTTCATTTTTTTACTAGTACATACACTCCCTTTTTTTATACTTCGTGTTGGTATCTGTCTATCTTATTTAAAATACCGTATTTTGGCAAAAAAAAGAGAATATATTTGGGTATATCGAGCCTTAGGGAATCTCTCTCTGGGTCAAAGTTGTGTAGAATCATCACAGTGTACAGGGACTGAGAACAGTGGACAATGTGTATATGGGCTGTGCTCTTGTGATGTGGGATTTCATCTAAACAAGCTGCAGTGCATTTCAGGTGTTTATTCGTTTAATAAAGAAAATAAGTATTTCATTTTAGTCATGTTGATCAAGATATTACACAGTACTACTCAACGTGATTTATTTCAATACCTTTTAAAGTAAGTTCTGGGAATTGACAGAAAATCAGTACTAGTCTAGTAGTTAGTATACTATAATATTATTACATGTATATAATACTATTCGTATATGGGATAAGAGGTGAAGAAATACCGGGTTATATATGCATACCAAGAGTGAAACATCAAAGGTATTGAAAATTATATAAAATACTTAAGCTGAAATCTACTTAAAGTATTTAAGAATTTTCTATAGCTTCTTATATATTTCTGCATTTATGATATCATTTTTATTATACTAAATATTTTATGCATTTTTATCAGTAGAAATATTATTTCTATCCCAATCTTTTGACCTTAACATTCTAAATTAAAGAAAAAAAACATCCGTTCCTTTTGGTTGGTTCTGTTGTCCTCCTCCTTGTGGTAACGATATCAATCATAACTTGCCTCATGGTGTGTAGAAGAAAATTGAAAGCGCGGAGTGGAAGGTATTTTTCCTCTTTGTGCATACACCAATTTCAAAACGAATCCTGAAACTTACGTTGCTCATACATGTCCACTGATTTCTTGATGTAGACTGGTTGTTCATACAGCTGATAATGTACCAGAGGACCATAACTACTACACCTATGCTATTCCTGGCAATATCAGAGATACAAAGGTTAGCTCGAAACAAAAAAAAAAAAAAAAAAATTCATCAATTTAATTTCATTTATGCTTCATTGTTAACATCCAGATTGGCTTAGCACATTTTTCTTTCTTTCAGGAATGTCAAATCCCTCTAAGTCACAGTGATTGCAGTTATAAAGGAGATACACTTTACGACACAACTCACCACGCAGAGGAGCAAACAACAGAAAACTTGTATGACGTCAGTGAACCGCTGTCCACTTTTAGAGAACCATCCTCCTCTGAGGGCGTGTATATGTACAACCACCTACATGATAAAGAAACACAGCTGTGTGAAAATCTATATGACGTCACAGAGTTTCCTGTTTCTCATAAGACAGACGCATAAAAGGATTCATGTATATCGCAAGGTTTATGTCAAGGAGAAATACTAAGTGATCAGCAACTTTACATGTTTTTCAGGCTCATATTCCAATAAATGTGAAATTTAGACTTTTGATATACAACATGTTTAGGGCTTGAATATTTTTTTTTATGAAATGAGGACAAGTACTTTAATATTCATTATGTCTTTTATTTAAAATTGTACAATATATTTCATGTACTTGACTGGTACTGAATTTTATTTTTATCTTCAAGTTTTTTTTTAAAAATATATAGATTTTTATCCTTTAGGGAAGGATGTAATATTATTGATGCATTAAAAATCGTAACTAGTAGCTCACTTGAGAAAAAATCTATATCCAAAGTTGCCATAACGCATCTTGAGTTGGAGAAGATTCGAGATTTTTTTCTCTTTTTTAATGAAGGGCTACACTTTCTTCCAAGGGGAGATTATTCCAATGGGAGATTATTATGAATTAGTTGAAAAATTGTGGCATTTTTTTAATCTTTAATTTCTCAAGAACCACTTGGCCAAAAAATATCAAACTTATAGCAAAAATTCTTAACATAGTGCAAATTCAAATTTGCTTAAATAAAAAGACCCACAAGGGTAGATAGGAGCCACAATTGGAGATCGAGTCTTACATTTGTATAAATAGGAAATTATAATTCTTTAATAATCTTCTCAAGAACAGAAAGACATGTTTAGTCATTTAGTTGTGATAGCTAAATAAATTAATTTTTATAATCGCTTGAAAAATAAATCAATTACCCAAGGGGGCTAATAATAAGGTATATAATGTTTACTTCCAATGAAAAAATATATAATAATATTATGCTTTATTTCTTATGAAGATCATTAATCAGTATAAGCAACTAAGCATGTAACCTGTATAAATTAAACAGTAGCTTTCTATCGAGCTAAAAAGTCCATCAAATATTACAAATAGGAGCACAGCAGTCATGGACCTCCAAAACATCAGAGTCTTGATCAGGTGTCGTAGAAAAATGACTCGTTGTGTGCTCCTTGTAAAATGCTCAAAAATCCGTTGACAACTCAGTCTGTAAATAATGGCCTAACAATCAGCATTGAGAAAGTAAGTCAGCATTTTACTTAATATTATTATGCTTCCTGTCAGTTTGTCTCTATATAACCCATACCCTACTATTCTCACATAGTGGTCTAAGGATTTATATAGCGTAAACACACTATGCCGAAATAGTGCACGGCTTTATTTATTGAAGAAAATTCTTCAATGCACACGCCGGGGATCGAACTCACGACCATGAGATTTATCGATTACGCCACAGAGACGATCACTGATTGGTAAAATTTTATTGCGTGGACCCTGAGGTCCACGCAGTAAATATATAAGCGAGGTTAAACCGGATGCCATGGGCAAACGACAGGCTACGCATGCGCGAGAATGCTAGAGCGTTTGCGCCTTAGGTAACTTGCCCGTAGAATAATTCGTCCTATTCGAATTAAAACATGCCATTCATTGGCAAATCGCGCTTTTAAATCTGTATATCCCATTTACTTATTCATTTGCGGATCCGATTTTCTCTCTTTTACATTAATTTTTATATACAAACTAAACATTGATTGATTCTATATTACAATCATTTTAAAAAGTAGGAAGAAGTTCCAGTATATATAGATACATGTAACTTAACAACTTGAATGAAAAACGTCATTAAACTAGTTCACTTCTAGCTTTTAAAAGATAGAACAAGTTTTCACCAGCATTAGTTTTGTGCATCAAGGCTCGCAAAATAATATAATCAATATCAATATTAATTTAATATTTCAGCAATCTAAATATCGTTTGATAAAGGTCTGTAGCAACGGCTTTTAATGTGTGCTTGGAAGGGGGGTGGGCTCCGACTAAAAATCTGCGTACTACAGAGCTGTGCTACTCGAGAACCATCATATTTCTATTTTCCCATGAAATTTTTATTCCGTATAAATCCAGAACAGGTGTCAAATCCCAGTCGGTTAGAAAAAACATGCATATGGTCCACGTATTGCAGTCCTTTTTTAAAGGACAGCAACTTGTTATATATGTAATCTTAATTTATACAATTGACACAAAAAAGAGAAAATAGACAAATATTATTTGAAAACAGTTATATTATTCTAAGGAACCTTAGATTAATGTGTACAACAAAGATTCAAACTAATTACATACAGATCGTTAGCTGAACTGATTTCATAGGGTCATTAAAACGCTTTTTTATATGACGCTTGATTGAAGGATGTAAAAGAAAATTATCAATGAGAATCGACGTCTGCAAACAAATAAGTCTTACTAACAAAACAGAAAATAAAGATGAGTTGCTTTGGGACAGAAAATCCCGACCTATTTAGAGAAAATACTAGTAACCAAAATAACTAAGCATGCAACCAATTTTAGCATGAAGATTTTGAATGAGTTCTTGCAAGTGCGCTGTGTTAGCACCGATATTTTCAGGAAAAAGTCAAATGGATTGCCGCATAAATAATTACAACAGTCAGCATAATAATAACAATAGTGTTGCATTATGCATGTACTATGCCTAAATAGTAGGCAGGGTTTGACACATAGTGCACTCGCCTCCGGCTCGTGCACCATGTGTCAAACCCTGCCTACTATTTAGGCATAGTACATGCATAATGCAACACTATTATATAAATAGTGTTTGCCGTCAAGATCATTGTATCGAGTGTAGAACTTACGAAATAATTACTTTAACCAGGACTGCTGATATTCTTGCTTCATCAACCTCTTTGTCAATAATTAACCTCGTTTTAGAAAAAAAAAACGTTCATACGTAGAATATGCTCTTGCATATCGAACCAACTGGGATATATAACTCAGTAATATGCAGGTATGAATGTATAGAATAAGTAAGTAAGGGAAGTTGACTATTGAAAAGTTTGTCATCGCGTTTATCATAAAACGGTGTTGTCAGATAACCATTAATGTCTTTTTCAATTAAATTATTGAAGTATGAAATAGATGACTTGTTGTATCTTTTTTTTCAAGGTCATCGGGATATATTTTATCTATAAAAATGGAAATAACAATTGTTAATTGTCAATACGTCGTGCTAAAGAGTTTTAAAAGAAATCTTTTCGCGTATTAGATTTTTGACAAATTCTGCTTCATACAAAAATAGGTCTGCTAATAGCGTGGCGTAATTGGTATCCATGGGAATTCCAATAGATTGTTGAAAGACCTGCTCTCCAAAAACGACATAGATATTTTCAATCAGAAACTCGAGCATTTTTTAATATCAACTTCAGAGTACTAGTGAGTCGCCTGCGTGGCGCAATGGTTAGAGCGTGTGTTCTAGAGTCGAAAAATAGGGAGTCGATCCTTTCGCTGCGGGTTCGAATCCCTGTGTAGGACGTGGACACCGGTCCTTCGAATGAGACCGTTTTAACTAAGGTCTCGTGTAGCATAAGATTTTGGAACGAAAAAAGATCCCTCGCTGCTCAAAGGCCCTGAATGCCAAGTATAGGACAAAGTTTGTAGCTTTCCACTGACCAATGACAAGGTAAGTGCATTTACGAGTTCCATTTTTATTGAAAAGCAGCTTTCAATGATATCTAAAAGCATTGACTTTAATTTATCGTTCGGGATGAAACTTTATGATAAACATGATACATAATAATTAAACTTTTCAATTGTCAACTTCCCTCACTTATGCAGCAAATATACCTTCGTCACCTGCATACGGAGTTTATATATCTCAGATGGTTCGAATGGAAAGAGCATGCTCTTTGTATACATATGTATGTAAAATTTTTAAAACGATGTAAACTTTTGACGAGCAAATTTCTGAAACGAGAATTTCAGTAGTCTCGTTTAAAGACATCGGGCGCCCTTGATTTGTCTACATCTTACTACACCCAGTTTAGACGATTTACACCTCATAATCAAGTGAAATTGGGTGTAGTGTGGCAAATTCAACATGGACGTCAAAATTTCAACAAACTGAGAGGGGCCTATTTGCAGATGATTTTTTAATAAAATATTTTTAGCGATTGTGAGCATTCTTTTAAAATTCTTTTAAAAACAAAACATTTTACAAAATGGAAAGAATTTTTTATTAAACATTTTCCTAGCTGTCCATAATTACCCCTATAACTAAATATCTAGCCGTAGTCAAATATATCTAGAGACTTTATCACCCAAACTTGCAAAATTCACTTATTTTTTTTATTTTACAAATTATGAAGTTTTTCATTTTTCCATAAAATGCACAAACCGTGGTCCACTATATTACTAAACCAATTCATCACAATGAACTTATCAAATACTTGACAGTAAACTCAAATACAGAAAAAGAAATTCTGCAGGTTTACCGTCTCGTCATCTGTCAGCCATACTGAATTTTTCGGTGTAATTACCTACACATGCCCTGCACAGGGTGTAGAAGGTGTACACCAAAAGTGTAAACTTTTTCACTTGATTGTGAAAAAGTATACACTGGGTGTAAGGTGTAGACAAATCAAGCGCGCCCATCATTTCGTAAGTTCTATGGTCGATACGACCATGTCATATTAAATACAATTTATCATTGAGTCAGATGCTGACTGACGTTTTTCATACTAATTGTTAGTCCATTATTTATACACTGAATTGGCGACAGATTTTTCCGTTATTTTCCGATCATGCCAAGGAGCAGACGACGGATGTGACCGGTCGGCAGGGGATGCTCACTCCTCCATAGCACTTATAGACCGTTTCACGGTAACTGCGGTACTGCTCTTTTGAGGTGCAAAATGATATAGTTTGGTGAAATATGACGTAAAAGTAGTAATTGTTTAAAATACGTCATTTAATTATCTATCAAGAAAAACTCCGCCAAATGTTATTATTTTGCCCTGCAAAAGTGTAGTACCGCAGTTATCGTGAAGAGGCTAATTCCACCTTTGATGTTTCTTTGAAAAGGTCTGTGTTTGCTCTGCTGCTATTTTGCGCTGTTTATCTCCTTTAAAAGAAGAGCTCCAGATAAAGATATACAAAAATGATCAAATTTTAAAACTAAAATGTATGATTTTTTTCTTTGCCAAATGATAGTTGACAGCTTAAGATACAGTATATGAAAAAATAAGCTAAATCTAGTGGTTAATTTGTGGTAAATTTGTTGACCCCCAAGCTTCCTTAATGAGGCTTTGCG